CCCGTTATTTAAAGACAGGTTTCAACTCCCTGTAATTATTTCTGAAAGGATGAGTCCTAGCTGGAGATAGTTCCATGCAAAAATGGAAGAAAGGTTGTCCAAATTTGGCCCCACTCAGTGCATCCATCAAGCTCCAAATCTGCTCCCAGGGCATCTCCACCTGCTTCAAAGACGACACCGGAGAATCGCCCACAAAAAAAAAAAAAACCTTTAATCCAAGAGAGTTAAAACGACCGGCTGATGTGCTGTTCAATAAATAAGGAGACGGGCCAATACAAACGCCGTTCGGCTGAGGGGGAATTTGCTTACACGACAGGCAGGCACACAGGAACGATGGAGATGCACTATTCAGAAAGCATAAACGGAAACACGGATGAAGCTGCATCGTGGGCATTTTCAAGCAAGAGGTGGTTGGAAAGCAGAAAACCTTTCGGGGAGATGCTACGCTGGGCCTGGCACGGAAATGGTGCTTCCACTTGGAAGACAAGAGGCCACCTGCAACACAGCCCACAGACGCCACAGGCCTCTGACACGAGCCACCTCATGGCAATGTGGCCTCACCAACTGAGCACATTCTGAAGGGTGTTTATTACATCACGATGGTGTTGCTTGTCCTCCTGATTGACCCTTGGCCCTTCTGACGTCCCTAAACTTTCACCTCAGATGGTGCCATCAGGGAGCTGAGGGGGTCTCCAGAGAAGGGCAAGCTCTGCCTGAGGTGCCCGTAATCTTGTAGGCCGAGTTGCCTTCGGCACGGCAACCAGCCCTTCTGCCCAAGGCCTGCTGGGAGCAAAGAACAGCACCTCTGCACCACTCCAAACTCTGCAGGGCACGGCGCTGCTCCCCGCAGCCAGCAAGGTGTAAACTCTGCCAGCAGGGCCCCCCCCTCCCCCACCTCTCTTTTTCAAAGCCCTTTTCCTGTGTGTGTGCACGCACGCACACACGCACGCACACACACAATCTGCCTAAACTCCCCGGGTCCAAGGAAGGTTTCCTCTTGGAGTGCCAGCTGAAGAGCTGAAATGTGAAAACTTGGCCAATATTGGGAGAATGGAACACCTGGAAATGCAGCCGTCCCAGGGCAGGCAGGCAGGAGAGAGGACCTTCATCGGGGCCTCCCAGACTCTTCCTACCAACAAATACAGGCCAAGAGTTCCAGTTCAGCACTAAAGGTGTCAGCCTGCTGCTTTCCTCAGAGTTTGTGTAAGTGGTGACCAGGAGCAGACGCCTTCCGGGAGAATCGGCTGGGTTATGTAAACTGCCCGGGGATGCAGGTCTTGGGGGGGTGATGCTACTTATCTGGGTGCAAGGGGGAGCGGGGAGGCTCCCCACAGCACCTTTCCAGAAGGATCAGCACTGCTGGCCCTGAGACAGCTGGAGCTCATCCATGAGAGGGGGAGCCATACTTTCCCTCTGCTACCGAGGGGCCGGAGATGACCTGCAAGGCTGAACGCCCGGCCCTTTGTCCCAAGAGCTTAGACTGGGGACTACTCGCTTGTGCAAACCACGGCTGGCCTCCTGGAGGTCCAACGGGCCAAAAGGACTTAAAATGGCCCATTTTGCGAGGTCTGTTCAAGGCTCCTGCTTCCACTGGGAAGGAGAGGGGCTCCACTGCAGTTGCCCTCTGGGGCCCAAGAGGGAGCGCAGGGCAGCCTTTCGGGCCTTGACTTGGGGGCATTTCCCAACCCCAGCTCTTCCCCTACTTCCCGTCCACACTTCAGGGCCAAGCTCAGACTAGCAGAAAGCAAGATGTACAGGAGGGTCTGTCCTTTGGCACACACACATTTTAGCCTGAAAGAGCCAAAGGCGCCCCTGGGCATGAACTGCTCAGCCAAGGGAGGAGTTCCTGAAAGGGACAAAGAGGTGCCAAGCAACGGCCACCTGGGAGGCCTCAGCTGCCAACAGTCCGCTCGGTTCTAAGGCGCCCCTCGTGCCAAGCATCTCGCCGCTGCAAAAAGGCTGGTTGGGGGCAGAGCAGCCAGGCCATTGCGCTGCAGTGCTGGGGCAGCAAAACTGCCTGTTTTCCTTCTGCTCAGGGTGAAGAGGGGAAAGCAGCAGCAGCAGGAGGAGGAGCAGGAGGAGGAATTCTGCCAAGTCCACGAACGGTTGAGGGTTGGAGCCATGTCAGCTGTGCAACCGCAGGGATGCAGAGAAGGACTCCCTAGAAGAGAAGCAGGATTTGGGCCCGTCAGTGTGCAGGCATCTGCTCTGCCAGCCAAAAACAAATAACTTCACAGGAACGGAGAGGCAGCCCCTACTTGCTCCAACCCGGGAGTGTTTTATGACCCAGATGGTTGATGAATTAACTAGCAAAGGACACGGAGGGCAACCCTCCCAGGAACACCTGAGCCAAACTGTCTCTCCCCCCTCGCCCCTTTGGAATGTATGACTAAAATTACTTTTCCCTTATGTTGGTGACAAGGGAGAAAAGCCCAGGCGGCCTTTGGAAAAGAGAAACATCATAGCAATGATGGTCATCATCAGCCCCTGCGTGTCCTGGTTCCCCGGGATCACAAAACAAGGCAGTGGGCGGGCTGGGGCGTTGCCTACCTTCAGGTCACATAGTCCGGCTATATTCAATGCCGCTCTTGGCTGAAATGCCCGACCAAGGCAAAAGGCTGCAGAGGATGCTCTGGGCTTGGCGATAAATCCTCTGGGGAATTGTGCAGGGGCTCAGATTGGCCAAAGTCGAGCCGATGTGCTGAAGATAGTCAGTGCCCTGCGGTTAAGGAAGCCACCAGACCAGGAGACCAGCTAAAAGCCAGAGGGGATCGTGTGGCCCCCACTGTTGCCCACGAGTGTCAAGGCAAAGACCTGATGACTTTGCTCTGAGTACCAAGGTCCCTGTAAAAAAAATGAGCCTCAGCCTTTGGCTCCTCCTCACCTGGACCCGGGAGGTTGTTTCTCAAAACTCACAGACTGGCCAAGGGGCTGCCAGATCATTAGCAAAGGATATAAAATTGTCCACGGCGGGTGTCCCCCATTGATGTAGAGAACGTACGTGAAGCCATCTTTGAGGACCCCTCGGATGGAATAATAGTAGGGCAAGTAATGATGCTGCTTAAAGTCTCTGTTTTCGTAGAAGTGTATTGCCGTGTTGTTGGTGGTCAGGACGTGCAGGTAAATGGCCTTGCAATGATCCTGGGCAGTGGTCGAAATGTGATCTTTCAGGCTTTCCAACAGAAGAGAACCTGCCACCAGACCAGCAGCCTTGTTAGAAAGGACCCACTGCCATTGTATTGGCACAGGGTTTAAACAGATCAATTCACAGATAACTGGCTCTTTATTCTGGAACAGGAATTGCTGAACATTCCTTCTCCACTTCCACACCGGGGAATCCATATAGGACGGGCTCTTGCCAGAACAGTGGACACGCACGATTACACAATAGGGTCAGACAGATAAGATCCGCTTATACTTTACAATGTAGCTCTTGCTCTCCTGACACACATACGTAGCCAGTTTGTTTATAACACTTAAATACTTGCAAACAATATAAATATTAAAAACATGGTTACCTATGCCATGCTTTCGAAATTCTTTCACCACTCCTAGGCTTAGAATGTAAGCAACTTGAGTATCAACTGGGAAACCAGAAGCTAAAATATCACCATCCTAGAGAGAAACTCAAGAGAAAGACACAGTGAGGAAACAAATGCACCAAGCCTCTTTTCAAGCACACTCAATGTCTATTGAATGTCTGGGAATGGTTTGGATAGGAAGGCAGGAGAGGAGGATTTGGCAAATTTCCCCTTATGCTCAAAGGGTTAAAAGAAGAGGAAAGGAAGCAGGGGGTCCCAAACAAATACCAAGCGTTAGTAGGGCAGACCATGAAATCCGCCCCAAGTCTCTGTTACTGACGCAGTCTGTACCCTTTAAAGCTTCACCATAAAAGCCTGGAGATGAGGGAGTTGCCCCGTCATTGGAAAGCACAAGAATGATTTGGCGGGGAGGCCAGGAGGGTGCAAAGGCCTAAGAGAGAAGCAAAGGCTGTGCAGGGCGGAGCCTCAGTATTTACCTCCTTGTGCACTTTGGCTCGACTCTTGATCTCAGCAACTATCATGCCCACAATGGTGCCACGGTAAGTCGCAGCCAGGGAAAAGAACTTTTGGTTGGAGGTGATGTCCTGATACCATGAGTCAGGGTATCTGTGGAACAACAGTGCAGTAGTGAAAGGAAGGAACCAATGATTTTCACATATGCAGGGACACCCGTCTCAAACCTCAACATCCCAATAAAAAGAAAATGCTGGTCATTAAAAATGGTAGAGAAAACCTCTGCACTAATTAACGCCCGTCAAAACACTTTTGTTTACTAGGAAAATTTCTGAGAAATTTATAGAATTCATTTTAGTAAATTCTTAAAATACATTTTAATCGTATTTACTACATATATCATGCGAATTCCAGTTTTATTTTATCCTAAAATGCAAGATGTTTCCTCTTTAGTCTTTTATGAATCCTACAATTTCACTGTCACTAACAAATCCTCCAAAAACATATGGGCCTCCTCCCCAGTGGCGCCTAACTGTTCTGTGCTCATGACAGGCTCCCAGCAATAAGATCTAGGCAAGGGCAGATTGAATGGTCTTATTGCTGGGTAGGAAGTTGAAGGAGATGATAATTTTATTCATGAAAACATTATCACCTCCTTATCAACTGTAAGCGGAAACCCAGTTCCATGCTCCCTTTTACATAGTTCAAGGACAGATTTCATTCTGGCCTAGCAAGTGGCTACGGGCAGACAAATGCAACATACTCAATGGGGAACCAATCACCACACAGCTGTTTGACTGTGCCTATGTCATCATGACACAAAAGACGAAGGTATATCTCGCTGAGTGCAGTCGGAGGCACCTCCTCTGTCATTCACACCTGCAAGGAAAAGAGAGGCAGTTCATGGGGCTGAGGGTTTCACTGCTAGGATCCTGTTCATCAGTCCTAGCCCAAATCAAGATGTTCTAAAACTGCAGGAATCCAGGCTCCAAAGCCCCCAAGTGTTGTAATATAGCTCCTTGTCTAGGTGTGTGTCCCCATGGCCCAGTTCATACCAGGGCATGCAGAGCCACGTTGAATCACACAGGAGAAAACAAACTCCTAGAACGCCATAACATCCTGATAGTGCATAAC